ATAGGTTTCGGAATTTCGGAATATCGGAAAATTACACTATCGGGCGAAAGTAATTTCGGACAGTTTCGGTTTCGGATTTGGGCGATATATATCGGTTTCGCCCACATCATTAACTAAGGTTAATGACAAAGATGGACAACATATCCAAAATTTGTAACGAGTATTATAAGAAAATCAAAAATGATTCTACGATCCACCCAAAATTTTTAGGACATATTAAGAATATGGGGTTTTACGTTGGGTCTATAGATATCATAGAATGTGCACGTACTATAATATACAAACCACAGTTCTCTTATGTTAGAGTGTATAGAGGAACACCTAATATCATAACTAATCAGCCCATATATTCGTGAAAAAATACTATCAAAAGGTTTATAACGACTATAATACTTTCATGGATAGATGTTCGAACAAGCTTAAAGTAATATGTAGAAAGAATGAGAAAAGTATATACTGATAAAACTACACGAAAACTACAACTTGACGGTGACGTTAAAAAACAAATATACTTACATGCAGAAATGAACATATTATCGACAAAAAAAATTAAAAATTGGGAATTTATCGCAGTTTCTAAAAGATGTTGCTACTTGTGTGAGCTGTATATTGATTTCGCACGAAAAAACGGATATAATATCATCGTCTCTAGAAAATATACAGTGGATGGAAACTTCCGCATGTATTGGATGACAACTTCAAGATCGAAAAGTAAAGCGCTATACTAAGAGTTTTTTGATAGCCTAGATCCAAAAAATTTTTATAAAAAGTGAATACGTGAGTGGATATATTAATCAGGCCAAAATTGAGAAGTAACCTTCAATAAAAATTTTCAACATGTAAAGAAAAAGTGTAGTTGCAAGAATGAGGGAATATTCTATCAATAAAGCATAAGGTTCAAAGCGAAACTTTATTTTTCTTGTAAATGAATGTAAGAAGTTAGCACTCAACTAATAGAGCAAAATTTGAGTAGCGGACGTTTAAAGTGAAAAACATCTCGGGCACTAATGCTATTTTTTGCCCATCTACTACTGCGCTTTCAAAATTTCCGAAATAAATTACATTAATGCAAGAGATGAGTAATATTATGGAGTAGAGATCAAAAAATCACGTGTTTTCAGGTCAAAATTCGGAATTACAATTCTTCCGACGTAACAATTTTTTTAAGCTGTTATGATAAATTAGATCATACAAAACGTCATTTTATGACTATTTATTGTTTTCAAAGTGAAATAATTCTTTTCCAGTCGACTATTTCTTTTTGTTACAGACTAAAGAATAAATTGATGAATGCTCTTTTATTTTATTTTTATTTCATGTCTTTTATGGCTCTTTCGAATAATTTAACGTCAAGTGCATTGTGAATTACGAATAAATATTCATCAAGTTTAAAGTAATCATAAATCATATATGAAATTAATTACAAAATTTTATGCCATCCAGCAAAGGTTTATTTGAAATCCAATCCCACTTGAAATTGTTCAAGAATTATGTTTAAAATAAATAAATAATAATTTAATGAATAATAAATAATACAATTTTACAGTTTATCAAGTGTGCGAGTAGTTGTAACTTCCTTTAAAATTTAATTGCCTCTCGAATAACAGGGTCATCTTCTAATTCTTTAGCGCTAGTAAAGGTATGGAACAAATTCTCAGGTAACCCTTGTTTCAATAAGGCACATCGTTCGTGAAACATTTCCAAAGGAGTTTTCAATACTCCATCATCTTCTTCATCTCCAAATATATTAACATCCTCTTCTTCATTTTTCTTTCCTGTTGAACGGAGTTTTGAAAATTTAGAAGAAAGAGAAGCGGCTCGTTCAGGTGATAATATTCTGGCGCTTAAAGGAGTTTTTGGTTTATTTGAAGTATCATCATTATTCATGGGATCAGGTGACTCAGTAATTGTCGAAGTACCGTGTAAATATGAAATGTCGACATGAAGTTTATCTAGTAATCGATCGGTTAAACTTGATTTTCGTTCAGGCTTATGGTGAATTGTTTCTCCTGCAGTAGCTGCTACTGCATGATGTGTAATGACATCTTCTACCACATCTTTTTCGGCTTGCTCCTCTTCTTTTGTTTCAGTACCAGTTTCTTCGTCAAGACTAGAATAATAACTACGAAGATAATTATATATGGTTGGAAAGGTTTGTGAATATGAATGTCTTGGTTTTTGTGCTGGCAAATCCTTTACATGTTCCGTTGTGACATCTCGAACATATATACGAAGAATTCTTCCAGGATTTTCTCTTGCGATAGTTGTGTATCTGGATGAAAAAATAAATATTAATCGTTTGATTCATAATGATGAAATATGTTGAATAATGATTCTCCCTAACATACATTTCTGGATCAAGTTCACCAGTATCCCCAACAAGAATAAATTTACGATTAGGGAAATCCTATTACATCAAAATTCAAAATTTAGTGTTTGTTAAATTCAAAATTTGGATTAAACACGAGAAACGGATAGATGTACCTGAAGTAATTCTCTAATATACATGAATTTACTAGCCATAGGATTTTCCTTTTGTTCATAAGCACTTTTAATTAATCCATCATAAAATTTAAAATGTGATGACCCAGGAGGAAAATTATAAGTATGGAAAAAGGACTTTAAAGATGGGAATAATTGCCATGGTGAATTGGATACGTAATGGATAGACGCCCCTTTTTCATACTAAAAAAAAAAAAATAATAAATCACTATCTCTTGTGAAGATTCTGACAAAAGGATTGAAATAAGCTTACAAATTTACGGTAGAGTTCAGACATTCCTTGAACCTTTATAATTAATTAATAGTAGAATTCCGATCGTTTAATGTATGTACACACTTGAATTTACTACGATTTGCCGAAAAAAGTATTAAGGAATTATCTTACATCTTTGAAAGGTTGTAAAAATGTGTTGGTAAGGACACTTTTTGCACCTTGAAGAATATTTGTATCTTTAATTGTATCATCAATATCCTAAATATAAAAACATTAATAACATTATATTTTAAAAAAAAAAAAATTTTTTTTAAATAGATAAAGTTCTAAAATAACACTCACGGAAATGATGGAAACACCTTCAGGTTCAACGAGATTTACAACGCCATAACTAGGTTCAGTATCATTATTTTGATAAGCTTTAACTTTCAATAATCTAACTCTATTTTTATCTTTACTTCCAATGAAATTATGAATAAATCCACTAACAATATTTTCACTATTTTCTTCCTCAATCCATTTGAGAACAGTTTCTTTTGGAATTGACATATTACCAATTACGTGTCCCAATTTTGGAACAACTTGCATGCGAGTATTCTCACTTTCTGGGTGAGCAACTGCTGGGGTAATTATTTTCTCAGCATGACCCAATACTTTTTTAACATCAGGTACATTTACACTAGTTGTCGTGGTCGTAGCGCCTTCACCGCTGGGGGCCGTTGTAGTCGAGAATGCTCCGTCATCATTAGGATCTCCTTCGATGGACATCTTGTTGGAATCAGTCAACCCATCAACTTGCAATGAAAATTCCCCTTGACTAATGTTACTTGCCCAGAAATATGATGTACGCGCTTCTAGGAACTGATATCTCTCATCATCTTTCTTAATTCCTGTTGCCAATGATGTTAACCCTGATTTAAACGCACAACCGAGTTAGAGTTTTAATTTTTTTTTTTTTTCCTTTTTAAAGTATAAAAATAATTTTTAATGATGATTACCCAAGAATAAATTGCGCGATTTACTTTTTTTGGGAGCTGAAAATGCCCAACCGCGAATACGAATATTCCATTGATCAGTCGATTTGCCTAATGAAAAAAAATCATATATATTTATCACCTCTTAATCAAACTAATTAATTACCACATCACATCATAATGTATTACCTTCAACGGTCTTAGTGGCATAAGTAGGAAACAATAAACAATACGTTTCTAATTCACCCTCTGCATCCTTTTTAGTGTCAGACTCTGCGGTTTCGACCTCCCTGCTTTTGCTACTGAAATTTTCTTCCACCCTCGACTTTAAATTATGTAAATAATTCATATCAATAAAAATCAAGTAGGAAATTTTTTTGGGATAAAAAAAAAAAAACGAGATTTTAAATAATGAAATTTCTAAATAATCAAATCGATCGACGACATCGATCTTTAAAAGGGGATATGTGATGCTTTTAACGGCAAAATGGCAAGTTCATATGGAATTCAATTGATTTACGCCATTAAAATAGCCATTAAAGTCAATTGTTCATTAATAGTTACTATTTGAGATTGCACTTTTTTTTTTTTTTACCCCTGCCCCATCTTTTGTTCTTTTATAACCCAAATTTATTTCATTGAGACTTGCCATACTAGATGGAACATTCTTTTTGGGGAGGATTATTTCTACCTCCGTCATAACAAATGGCTATTAGGTAATTTCTGGTCCAGATAGATACTGCGCGAGTTTAGTGCGTAAGTGTAAAATAAAATCAATTTATTAGATCTTAATTCATTATCAAATTAAGTTGGATCACAAAAAAAAAATCGCACTTTTTTTCTTTATTTTATTAAATTTCAGTTTTACTGTTATATATATATTCCAACGTATTAGACTCAACAGAAATTGTATAAGGTATTTAATCAATAAATACGTAAATTCTACCAAGTTGAAATCATAAATTAAAAAAGGACGGGTAACGTAAAATGGAATGAGAAACGTTGCTATTACTACACCGGCCAAATAGGTTTCACATAATATCACGGGGATTTCTATTTCCGAAATTAAAAAGATATTTACAAGGGAATGTACAACCATTGCGGAGAAGAGAAAAATAAATAGGAGCATCAAGGTTGAAGGGAGGAGACAAGTCGGGATTAGAGTGAAATGATGAGTCGAAACATTAATTTAAAATTAAATTCTATATGCTATATGCTGTGATTGGATGAAGGTACAAAAATAAAATTAAATTAAATACAAGAAACGATTTTTAACCACCTTTTATACAATCCGAATGGAAAAGAATGGAAAAGTGTGAAATAAATAATACTCTATTATTCTAATAAATATGCATTGCCTTAGGATGATAGTAGATTAAAATAAAGAAAAATAAAAAAAAAGGGAATCAAATGAATCAATCAATCATTATTCATATTTAATAATGTACAGGATTATAATTATATTCGATTAATTTTACAGCCAACAAATCTCCTTCGACACGTGGATCCCAGGCGACATAAGCAACCAAAGCAAGGCTTAGAGCGATGAGAGAATGAATTAGGGTTCTTTCAAAAGGTTCTAATTCAACCAAAGAAGTATTAGAAGTTGATATATTGACTCTATAATTATTGATGGCGAATTGAGTTCGGATGGATGAAAACATTGTGGTGAGTGATTGCATGTTTGATGTTTTTAGTAGGATTGTTTTTTTAAGGTTTTAATTTCGGTTTGATGAAGGAGGAAATAGAGGAAGGAGGAAGGGAAATAACCGGGAGGGTGAAGGTGCGAAAAAAAAGAAAGAAAGAGAAGGTGTTGGGTATTGAATATTAAAAAATCCTTAATAATGCATTCCCAATTTTTTTATTTCTTTAAAGAAATCCTAAGGAAGAGAGACGAGGAAAAGATAGTTAAAGAATAGAAGAGTTCAAATGAAATACGAGGCATTTAAGTACTTTATTAAAATTTGAACAACATTAGTGTAACAATGCGAGCGATTTAGATTCGGGAATTAAGGTTTCCTAATCCAGATTATGACTTTTATATAAAAATGTCAATCATAAATTTAAATTCTAATAAATAAAATTTATTTAATTTCGGAATTATTATCGATCTATCTATTGTGTAAATGATGTGTATGTTTGTTTCCGTTCCATATTTGAGGAGCTTACATTTATTCGAACACAATTAATTTTGTGAACCATTCGATAGATATTAAGCAGCAAAGATATCGCTATTTGGCCAATGTGCGAACACTTTACACTACATGGGATCGTTGATTAATTTACAAAGAATGACTGGAAATTCATCTCTATTTATTATCTCAGGAAAAAAAATAATTTTTTTTTCTCTTAAAATCAGTATATTACAATTTTTTTTTTTTTTCTTTGATTATATATATACACGTCTATACTACGACCTAAAAGGATTACTGCCAGCAGTTTTTTTTTTTTTTTTTACAATTATAATAAAAATTATCTTAAATCAATACTTTTTAAACTTATATATAATGATAATATAATTTTGGACTTATGTGTCTTATAGGTGGCGTAATTGAACAAAGTACGGGAAAATCGCTTGGTATGCCAACAACAGGGGCTACAAACCCCCATCTTCTCATCTTTTTTTGATTATTCGATGTTGGACCGTTTGAAGGGATGTGAATGTATCCCCAACGCCTTTTTGCTCGTGTGGAAACTTTGTATATTTCTAATGCTTTTACTGATACAACATCTTTCGGAAGAATGTGTTGTGTATTTGGATGTGAGGTATTATCATCATCGTGCGTTATGTCTTCTAAAGGAGAGTTCATCTCTGTGGTTATTTTGGAATTGGTTGATATTCTGATACATTTTCCCATCTGATTAATAAAAAAAAAAATCCAAAAATAAAAATCAATATTTATATTATAGTATTATAGTCTTTATCTTTATAACAAATGAATTAGATTTGATTAATTACCTTGGTGATTAAACTGTTTCTTCGAGACATTTGTTATATGATTTTTTTATGTTTATTGATTTTTGTCGTTCTGAACCAAAGCAGAAACAGCAATTCGTTCTGGATTTTTTATTTAGAAAAAAAAAAAAAAAATGATTTTATTTTTTTTTTTTTTTTCGGAATTGTAATAATAAATTCCTTGGTTCTTTTTATAATTATTCATGTTGATGAAAATAACTTATCTATTTTTAAATAAAAAGGAAAATTTTAACAAAGCAAACCCCAAAACCTTTGAAAAATACCCCCTTTGTTTCCAACGTTGTTTTTAAAGATTGTCAGTTTTCCATAAAAAGGAATGTGCACCAACTAGAAAGCCTTAATATTATTTCAAGTAATGCAAGGAGGAGTAATGGTGTTACTTTAAGGAATATATGAAGAAAAATGCAATGACTAACTGGCTTCGTTTATTGATCAATAATATTAATGAAATAACAAACAATATTAAAAAAAAAGGATTGCGTGTGACGAATTGTTGTGCAACCATGAACGCTTACAATATTCTAGATGATAACTGATTTGCACTGTATTACCTTGCATTGTGGATTAATAATAAGCCAACCTACCTTATAATAACCAAATCTCGTTTTTTAAAATAATTACAATTAAAATAGAAAACAAAAAATTTTACCGAATTTTTCCAGTATATAAATTTTTAAATATAAATTTTTTTATTAATTTTCAAATTTGTAATGCTTTAATAAATCAAATTCTGATAAAATTTTTTTTCTTTCAATTCAACTTTTATACAAAATGTTATTTTATTATTTAAAAATTTTATAAATAAGTCATTACCAAATTATATTTTAAAAATCTAATTTTATATTCAACTGATTAAAATATGTAATTTGATAATAGGACCTTATAATAAAAATGAAAAAAAAAAATATTTAAACTTTTAATAAGTTTTCTTTAAAGATTTCAAAAAAGTTTTTATATTTTATGTTACAAATTAAAATAAGTTTTGAAAGTTTAGATAGAAATCATTAATTATACTTATATATAAATATATAAATCAAATTATTTTATAAATGTTAAAGACAAAAATACTATTTCTATTTTATATATATATATAATAACTTCTATAATTATTGTATTGATTTAATCTAATTTAAAGCCTATAATCTGATTTTTAATATACTTAAATTTAAGTATTATTTACTTTTATACATTATTTTTTTGTAATATAATAGTTTTATCAATCAAAATTAATATAATAGAGTTATTTTTTGTGATGTATCTTATATATACACACATAGGACAAAAGTATCTGAACACTATGTAAATTACTAAATTAATTGGGTAAAGTTGGCTATAAATAAACTTTTTTATTAATGAATGTAACTTTAGTTTCATAAGTAAAGTTGTTCATCATAATATGTCATATAATATGTAAAAATTTTAAAGAATTTAAATAAAAATTGGTCAAACTATAATAATTTAAAATTTATTTTAAATTAATACATTTTTTAATAAAAAACTTTAGTTATAGTATAACATTAAAATGTTTAGTCTTAACGTAATTTTTATTACTAAGTAACCTTTTTGATTATTATTTGAAATATATAATTATAAATTTTTTTATAAAATTTTATTAGGTAGTTATGAAATAATATAAAAAAAACTAAAAAATTTTAAAGAAATTTTAGCTATATTACAACATTATAATTTTTAGTAAAAATACATAAATTTTAATCATTTATTAGCTTATATTAATCTAAAAATAATACTAATATAGCGTAGAATACCATTTACTTTTTATTATAACTTTAATTCTATAAAGCATACTTTCAATTAACTTTAATAATCTTTCAAATTTAATTTAGTACCATTCTTCTTTAAGAGTAGCTAAAAGTTCTGACTTATTTTTTGATTTAGAACTATGCATCCTGATCTTTCTTTTCAGAATATCCTACAAATTCTCAATTGGATCTGTGTTGATCAAGAAAGTGATTAATGTAAATTTTCTTCTTTCCAACCCTTTGTAAATCATGCTGTATATATTAGAGCATTATTATCTTGAAAAGTATGGTTATTAGATCTAAGTTTATTAAATAAAGGTAAAAGATAACATTTAAGTAATTCTACATACTTTTAGCATTTAATATTCTCTCAATTAGTACTAATGATCCCTAAACTATAACTTTTTCTGACTTTTAATCTATTAAAATTAAACAATCTTTTGCATATGCCTTATAAACCTTATACTAAACTCATTGATTAGTATTATTTCTAAATAATTTAAAATGAGATTCATCACTAAAAATTATAAAATTCCATTAATCTTGCCAACTTTTTCTAATATAACACCAAAGTAAACATTTTTTTTATTTACATCAGAAATTAAATATTTTTTCCTATTAATACAACCATAATAACCCATAAAATATAATGCTCACTTAATAGTTTTACTACTTAATGAAATATTAAGACCCTAGTTAAATTATTTAGTAATTTCTTCTATGGCTTATTTACAGTTTTGTCAGACTATTCTTCTTAGTTGGCGTTTACCTTATTCTAATAAAGCTAGAGGTCTATTACTTCTAGATATAATATCAATGCAGTTTTCTTTATTATATTTTGTAATTATATTATGAATAGTAGATTTTAGTTTGCCAAGAATTTCTAAGATATTTCTTATGCTATAATCACTCTTTGATAAACCTAGAATTTCTCTATGTTTAAACTTGCAGTTTTTTGGTATTTTTATGTATCAAAATAATTATTTATAAAAATTTTTTTTATTTAAAAGAGTGAAGCTGTAAAATTCTGAAAAAAAAGAATAACGAATTTGGTTAGAAATTGAACGTACTATTATTATTTAAAGATTGGCAATAAACAGTTAAATTTATGCAATATCACAATTGTTCAGATACTTTTATCCTGTATGTATATAAGTAAATTTAAACTTGTAGATTAATATATATACTTTTTTTTAATATATTATAAAAATAATTTCACTTTACTAAAAAAAAATATACTTTACCTCTTATTTAAGAAGATTTATCAAGTTGTATAATTACTTTCACAAAAATATTAATTATACTTTTATAATAAAAATTAACAAAAAAAAAAAATAAGTAGCTTTGTATTTCAAAATTAAACTACTCAAATATACTTATAGAATGTTATAATAAAAATATTGTCAAGTTTAAAGATAACATCTCAATTAATTGCAATAAATAATAAATAAATATAATAATATTACAATTAATTATAAATCAAATTGTAATAAATAATAAATAAATTTTATAGTATTGTAATACTATCTTTAGTCAAACTTAATTAAATCAAATAAATAACTGATTTTAAAAAATAATGCTTAATCTCATAATTAAAAATCATAATATATTTTATATAGAAATATTATCTTAATCAATTTAAAAGTTTTGATTTTAATTTAATTAAAAATCTTTAAGCTAAAATTAAGAAAAAAATTCATACAAATAAAATTCATTATCAAAATATTAAAAAATAAGAAAAAAGCTTTTAAAATATACTATCAAAAATTTAGTTAATATATATCAAACTATAATTACAGTAAATAAGGTATGACTAAGTATTAATTATTTAATATAAAATATAAATCCTTATCAAATTTAAATAAAATATTAATTAACATTTATTGTTAATACTAAAAATTTTATATTATATTGAATGAGAAAGCATTCAGATACTTTGTTTAATTTTTGTAATTATATAAATTTTTATTAAAAGTATTTATCTTTAAATTTATATAATTATCTAATTAATATTAGTATTTTTTTTTGATTAATATTTATTTAATTTTTATAATAAATATAATTATTATATAATTATTTAATATATTTTTAAAAAATATAATTGTTTAAAATTTATAAATTTAATTTTTTTTAAAAAGAATAATTATATATTAAAATTTTAATAATATAATTTTAAATATTAACTTTTATTTATTTATAAATATTTTATTTTCAAATAAAAATGCTAATAAATTAAAAATAAAAAATTTAAATTATATATTATTATATTTTTTTTTAAATTTTTTATTTTATTTTAACTTTTTAAACTTAATATTATATATATATTTTTTATTATATTATAAATATTATAAATATTATAAACTTTATATTATTTTATAATAAAAAAATTAAAAAAATTAATTAGAGTTTATATAAATTTCCTTCTAATTTACTTTTATGATAATATAGGATCACATTTTTCATGATACAGATAATAAATTTTTTACTATTTCATTTTGTAATTGCTTATCTTCCAATTTCACAATTCTGCCTTAAGCTCGCTAATACATTGTTTCAATGAATTAGTCTCACCAGAATCATCTATTTCAGATTATATACTTGCGTAATGTAGTATTAGTATATTAATATTCAAAAATAAAAAAAATATGTGATTTCAGTAATCTCAGATCGTTCAAATTTTGCCAAGAAAAAAAATACAGATGAATATGTAAAAATAATCAGCCACCAGGGTACTTTATTGATATAGGAAAAGTAAAATACAAATTTATTATATACACATGACTTATTCAAAATCTATATT